GTCTTTTTGAGACAGGGTCTTGCTATGCAGTTCAGACTGGCCTTGAGCTCACTTTATAGCCCAGGCTCGTCTCATACTCACAACCATCCTCCTGCCTCAGCCTCCCAAGTGCTGAGATTGCAGGCGTGTGCCACCACACCTGGCTGTTAATCTTTATATATTTTGTTTTGTGTTTTGAGACAGGATGTCACTATGTAGTTTAGGCTAACTTTAAACTCACTATGTAGTTCAAGCTGATTTTGAATTCAGGCAATCCTCCTGCCTCAGTCTCCAAGTGCTGGGATTATAAGAGTAAGGCACCATACCTGGCTTTGTATAGTCTTGTAGTGTATAGTCTCTTGTGTTTGTTTATATACATATTTAAAATTTTTTATTACTAAATACCATGACTACTGCTTAAAGGGAAAACTCAGTAAAGTCTTACAAAGTCTTTATTGTCTATATATGTATTGCAGACAACTTTTTTGTATCCTGTTTTGTTTTCTTCTTGTGTGACACCAGGGATTGAATCCATTGAGTGCAAAACTACATCCCCAGCCCTATTTTCATTTTATTTTGAGATAGGGTCCCACTAATTTGCCCAGGCAATCCTCCTGCCTCTGCTTACTGAGTACCTGGACTCACATCTATGTGCCAGCACTGCTGGCTTATAATCTGCTTTATTTTTTGTTAAAGACATGGTCTTGCTATGTAGTTCAGGTTGGCTTCAAACTCTCAACAGTCCTCCTACATCAGCCTCCCAAGAGCTGGGTTTAACAAAACTGTCACCACCACACCTGGTTTTACAATCTTTTTTATTTTTACATTTATTTGTTTAGTTAAATCTTTTTGAGACAGGGTCTCACAACGCAGTTCAGGCTGGTTTGGGGCTCACTTTGTATCTGAGGCTGGCCTTGAACTTGCAGTGATCCTCCTGTCTCAGTCTCCCAAGTGCTGGGGTTACAGGCACGTGCCACCACGCCCGGCTTACAATCTTTTTTGGTCATGGTTTTACAGACATTGGGTACATGGTTCTTCATCATCATTATTTGAAGGTTTTGTTCTTGTTTGGTGTTGAAGGTTGATCTCCAGACCTTATTGTACATGCTAGGCATATGCTATACCACTGAGACACTCCTGGCTCCTAAATAGTGGCTTCTGTGTCTTACTAAAGTGGCAGTTCTCTGGACTAGGGATTTAGCTCAGTGACACAGCGCCTGCCTGGCAAGCGCAGGGTTGTGAATTCGGTTCCCAGTACTGGAGAAAAAAAAACAAAAAAAAAAAAAGGAAAAAAAAAAAGTGGTAGTCCTCAGAGTGTCCGGCCTTAGGGGCATGTTCAGTGCTCACAGGCCCTGTGACTCCCTTAGCCCACCTGGTGGAGTGGGAGGTTGAGGGGTCCAGGCTGACCATGGAGTTCTGCAGTTCTCATCTAAGCCAGTGTATTTCTTTTAGCTGGTGACAGCTTGTGCCATGCAGGCCTTCCACAGCCTCTTCCATGCCAAGCCCAGTCCAGGTACCCTGTCGGCAGAGCTCAACGCCCAGATCATCACGGTGAGACCCCGTGGGGGAGGAGGGGCATCGCTAGGCAGGTCCTTTGGGAGCTGTGCTGGGCACCAGCCCTGCTGGTTGTCTGCAGAGTGAGGCCCAGTGGGCTGGGCAGGCCCAGTACAGGAGGCCACTAGATAGGCATGCAAGCAAGTGCCTGGGAGCTGGAGCCTGAGCTCTTTCTTATCCTAGCTTACCTCCTAAATGATTTCAGCAGGATCATGAACAGGGCTCTCAGCCTTAGACATAAGCCCCCAAAACTATAAAGTCTGTGTGTGCACACGCATGTGCTCAGTGCATTTCTTCCCAGAAGCTGGTGTGAGCTAACATACTCCTTGCTCCTGCTGGCTGCACTCAAAGAGCATCAGAACTGAGGGTTTCATGGATAGCAGGAGCCCAGGATCTGTGTTCCTAGTGTCAGCAGGGCATTGCTGGTGCCCTGAGGCTGGGAAGGTGTCATCACTGGGGCTGCTGTTAACTGCCTGCTTAATAACCTGCTTACTCCCTGCCTAACCTACAGGCCCTATATGACTACCTTCCCAGCGAGAATGACTTGCAACCGCTGCTGGCTTGGCTTAAGGTCATGGAGAAAGCCCACATCAACTTGGTCCGGTAGGAATGAGGGGAAGGGGTACCCAAGACCTCCCCCCAGGCCTCCTGCTGTGTGGGGCAGATGGGAGAGATGTGAGCTGTGGCTGGTGTGGCCTTCAGCTTCCTGGGAGGGGTGGTATTTCTGTGTTGAGCAGGTTACAGCTTCTTTCTTGTGTTTGAGAGGCAGGGCAGCCTGGTGCTGCATGTTGGGGCTGAGTTTGATCTTGATTTTTGTCGCTCCCTGGTTGTGACATCCTTGCTCTCGGTTTCTTCATCTAGGGTTTCATTTCTTTTCTGCATTAGCACTCCCTCCCACCTGCAGGGCTGATGGTTCCCTCTTCTGGATTTCATGGTCCTGTGAACCCAGTTTTTGCTTTTTTTCTTTTTCTTTTTCTTTTTCTTTTTCTTTTTTTTTTTTTTTTTTGAGATAGAGTCTTACTGTGTAGTACAGGGTGGTTTTGAACTTGCTTATGTAGCCTAGACTGTCCTTGAACTCACAGTGATCCTCCTGCCTCAGCCTCCCAAGTGCTGGGATTAAAGGGGTGTGCCTCCTCAGTTTTTGCAAGGTTGAAATAAGTAGAATATATGTTGTTGTATTAGTGGTATGTGGTGTTATACAAATGTTAAGCAATGATTATATTGTGTGTTTCTACATGTGTGAAAGCTTTGGGAGAATATGTGAGAACTTTACTTTGCTTTTCCCCTGGTAGGTGTATCTAAAGGTCAGGCCAGAGAGAGGTATTAAGGCAAGCGTAACCCTCATTCTGTACCTTGAAGACCACTTTGAATTTTTATGTTTGCTTTGTTTACTTTTTGAGAAAGGGTCTCATTGTGCAGTTCGGGACAGACTTGTGCTCACTATGTAGCACAGGCTGCCCTCACACTTGCAGTGATCCTCCTGCCTCAGCCTCCCAAGTGCCAAGATAATGGTGTGTACTACCACATGCAGCCTGTTTGAATTTTTTACATGTATTTATTACTTTAATGACAATATTTTGTTTGTTGGTTGGTTTTCTGGTTTTTTGGATTTTTTCCTGTACTGGGGATCGAACTCATGACCTTGCGCTTGCCAGGTAGGCACTGTGCCGCTGAGCTAAATCCCCAGCCCCATTGACAGTATTTTTATTAAATGACCCCTAAGGGTCCTGTAGAGCCCCTACAGGCCATTGGTTGTATCTGAGCTGGGCTTGTGAAGGTTTTGCCTTGGTTACTGGAGTCGCTGAGGCACAGAGCCTGGCCCCACAGAAACCTTTCGTCTTGACAGGTTGCAGCGGGACCTGGGCCTGGGCCATCTTGCTCGCTTTTTTGGAACTGCAATGCCTTGTCTCCTCTCCCCTCACTCACAGGTGGTGACAGCCACCACACAGAGCCTGAAGGTACCACAGCTTCCCCAGCCCCTGCCCTCACTGAGGAAGCAGGGAGCAGGGGTTCTGCTTGCTGAGCAGTTCACCCGGAACCCCAGCTTGGCCTTCTGTGGGAGGTAGACTCCCCAGAGGCTTCAGCAGGCAGTTGCCTGGGAGGGATGAATGATCCCGGGAGGCTGCCTTGATCCAGGGAGTCCATGGCCCCTTTTTGTAGGAGATCCTGAAGGAGTGTGTGACTCTGCACATGGCTGACATTGGCTCAGTGACCTCTTCAGCTTCAGGTCCTGCCCGATATATTGCCAAGATGTTCAGGTGAGAACACGATGTCATGTTAAGAAGGCATGAGGGCTGCCTTGTCGAAAGTTCCGAATAGTGACCAGCGCTCCATTTAGCACTTACTGCGAGCCACACGTCACCTAGCACCAGATGGGGTGTGGGGTGTCGGGCTGCATACTGAGCCTCTGCCAGAGCAGCTGCTGCCAACTAGAGCACTGCCACATTTCAGGTACGCTTCCAGCAGGAGAGGTGCCGTAGTGTGGGGTATAAGTGTGCACCCTTGATTGCTGCCCCAGAGCTCCTGGCCCCTAGGGCCTGGTCCTCAAACTTACCAGTCCTCAGGTGTTCGTCAGTTGAAGGGCATGGCCGGGAGTATGTAGATCACTTTCAGACCAGTACTGAGCACACAGTTAAGTGTTCAGTAAATAGAAGCTGCTAGTGATCCTTAAGGTGCTGGGATCAGTGTTAACCCCATTTTGTAGACAGAAAGCTGAGATTACCTGGTCAGTGACCAGGCTGACCACCCAGTAAGAATCCGTTCTTACTATGCTGCCCTCCACACCTGTGAGAGGAGCCATTCACATGCATGGCCAGCACCTCTGAGTAATCTCAGGAAAGCAGCTAGGGTTCTGGTGTCTTCTCTGGGTCTGTCTGCTCAGTTCCATGATATGGAACATTGGAAACTATTCCTTATATGGACAGAGGCTTGTACCTTTGGGATGAAGTTTCAGGAAATCTCAAAGAATAGAACTTCCCCACCAGCCACACCTATTGCCCACACTGGCTCCTGTGGGCCCTTACAGCTTAAAGTCTCCAGGGGGCTGGAAAGGGAGGTCAGGGGGAGATGGAACCAGTCAAGGTGTACAGGAGCCAGGCGGGGTAGAGGTGTTCCCTTCTACCTGGGCTGCCTATCCTACCCCATCCTCCTCCCATACGACTGTGACAGACTGTGGACTGGGGAGACTCAGTGTGGTTGCCAGTAGAGTGACTCTGGCGGGTTACTTAAATCTCTTAACTTCCATTTCCCCCATCTAAAGATGGGAAAGATTACCAGCTCACAGGTTTTTATTTTTTCAACTTTTTTGCCATTTAAAGGAAGCTTTTAGGATGTATGCTGCAGCATGAGGGGAACAGTGCCCTGACTGCCTGCAACAGGTTTTTCTTTAAATACTAGAAGTATATAAGTTAAACTCAGCAGAGGGAGCCGCATGAACACTTCTAAATGTTACTTGTCCTCTTTTCATTTTTTGTGGCACTTCTTTATGGGCCAACTCCAAGTTTGTAGCTCATGGTGCCAGCCATTGACAGTTCCTGGCTGAGGCACTGGGTGGTATGACTGTGGCCAATTGTGCCTCTCCCTGGCAGGGCGGTGGAGGAAGGCCTGACGTACAAATTCCATGCAGCTTGGAGCTCTGTGCTGCAGCTACTGTCTGTCTTCTTTGAGGTGTGTGGAAGGCAGGCCCATCCTGTGATGAAGAAGGTAAGCTGGGATGTGCTGGGCCTAGGGCAGAAGGTGGTGTGTGGGGCTGTGGCGTCTGAAGGGGTCCTGTGTCTGCTCTACCCGCCACTCCTATTTCTGTGTTTCCAGAAGGTAACTGGGCCACCTTAGGAGGGATGGGAAAAGGTACTGGGGATTGAACCAAGGGCCTCAGGCAAGCGCTGTGCCCCTGAGCTACACCCCCAGCCCTACAGGTGTGTCTCTTGTATAACCTTTTATCCCTTTGCTCCAGTGCCTCCAGTCCCTGTGTGACCTGCGTCTCTCCCCTCACTTCCCCCACACGGCAGCCCTTGACCAGGCAGTGGGGGCTGCAGTGACCAGCATGGGACCCGAGGTGGTGTTACAGGCTGTTCCTTTAGAAATTAATGGCTCTGAGTAAGTGTGACTGTGGTTGGCATTGTCCAGGCCCCTGGACAGCCGGGCAGCTCTATTCCCCAGTTCTCCCCGGGGAAGGGTGTCTGCCAGTCTCTGTGCAGAGTGGTCTTCATGCTGTCACCCTGCCTCACTGGGTGCTTGCCTTTCTTCTCCCAGGCAGACAATGGATTTCCCACGGAGCTGGCTGCTGCCTGTCATCAGGGACCATGTCCGGGAAACGAGACTCAGTTTCTTTACCACTTACTTCTTACCCCTGGCTACCACCCTGAAGAGCAAAGGTACAGAACCCTTGGCTGTGTGCAGCCAGAGGACCTCAGCTGGGGGCTAGAGGGTGCTGAGTCCTGTACACCTTGCCTTGGGACATTGAGCAGATCCCCTTTGTCCCCAGGCATGACCAGGCCTCCCTCCTGGGACTGGCCTGCCCGTGTGCGGGGGTGGAAGGCAGGCATCTGTGCCCCTCTCCCCGCTTCCCATGGAGCTTCCACCCCTTGGGTCTTGTTCTTTCTTGACCACAAGAAGCAGTTCTGCTCCTTTTTCCTCCTGAGAAACCTTGAGATAGACTTAAAATCTTAGGATGTATTTGTTTGTATGTATATAGTTGGCCTTCCGTACTCTTGGTTGTGCTTTTGCAGAGTCAAGCAAACACAGACCAACAATATTCGAGAAAATATTGTGTCCTTACTGAACATGTACAAACTTGGTTTTTTTGTTTTTGGGATGAGATCTTTCTTTGTAGTTCAGGCTGGCCTTGAACTCACTTTGTGGCTTAGGCTGGTCTTGAACTCACAGCAATCTTCCTGTCTGAGCCTCCTAAGTCCTGGGATTATGGGTGTGTGCCACCATACCCAGCTTTTTTTTTAAAGATGGTCTCACTATGTAGTCCAGGCTGGCCTCAAGCTTATTATGTAGCCCAGTCTGACCTCAAATTTTCAGTCCTCCTGCTTAGCCTCCTGAGTGTTGGGATTACAGGAATATGCCACCATACCTGGCTCAAACATTTTTTCCTTGTCATTATTCCCTAAACCATATAATGTAACACTTAGAAACAGAGAGACAGAGAGACAAAGACAGAGAGAGACAGAGAGAGAGAGACAGAGAGAGAGAGAGAGAGAGAGAGAGAGAGAGAGAGAGAAGCAGAAGCTAGGGATTAAACCCAAGATAGCCTTAAGTATGTTATCTAGGTGCTCTACCACTGAAGTATACCTCCATCCTTAGCCATGATCTTGTAGTTAAAATTATGCACTGTAAATGGTAATCCACATAGGCATCTGTCTTGAGGAAATAGATAAGTACACACACACACACACACACACACACACACACACACACATATGCAAAGAGTTCCTAGCAGTGTGGTTTCTACTAGCAGGAGTCTGACACCACCTCCATATCCTTCAGGAGGTTCCAGTTAAGTTAGCTGTTGGAAAATACCACTTTGGGATTCAGTATAGTCATTATAAGAAAAGTGAGAGACCACTAGGTAGATACAGATGATACCATTGATTGTGAGTTGAACAGACTAAATTTCAACTCAGGAAAGCACATTTTGGCGAGTAGGCACATTTTTTCTAATATGCCAGGATCTGTACCTCATCTATAAAATGGGCAGGGTAATTATACCATGGGGATGAAATGAAGTAACCACATTAGGTGTTGATTACACAGACTTTAACATAGAACTTGCCTAATAACTTAGCATTATTTATTGTCAAGTAAACAAGGTTCCAGAATAATATATGTATAACATAGTCCTCTTTATGTCCTAAAGGTGCTTTTTTTTAAGGAATTGCAGAAGTTACAAGGAACAGAAGTCATGCCTGAGGGAGTGAGATTATGGAGATACCCACCTTCTGTTTTTCATTAAGTCTGTTTCAGTTTTTGAGTCACAAGTATTGTGATTCAATACATGTGGAGGGGAGATCAGCCATATTCCTGTCCTCATAGGTAGGCTTTTTGGTTTCGGTGAAATGAGGCCAGTTGGCAGATACCCAGAGTTACCCCATATCTTTGTTCCATACACTAGCCATGGAGCTGGCCCAGGCAGGCAGCACTGTGGAGTCCAAGATCTACGACACACTGCAGTGGCAGGTAAGGGTCAGCTGTGGGGAGGAGATGGGTGAGGAGGTAAGAGCCATGGGCTGCTGGTGTCACTGTCTGTTCTTGTCTCCTTTCTAGGTCTGGACCCTCTTGCCTGGGTTCTGCACAAGGCCCACAGATGTGGCTGCCTCCTTCAAAGGTCTGGCGCGGACACTGGGCACAGCCATCAGTGAACGCCCAGACCTGAGAGTCACTGTGTGCCAGGCCCTGCGCACCCTGATCACCAAGGGCTGTGAGGCAGGTATGTGGGGCTGCTTACAGGGTGACAGAGTCCCTGTCCATGTTCCCTGGCCACCTGCAGCTTAACTGCCTGGCAGAGCTGTAGGCACAAGGCTCTGCCGTCCATTCAAGGGTTGAGCTGGAAGTGAAGATCTCACCCCACTGCCACTCTCAGTATGCTGGCTTGGCTACTGTGGATTTGTGTAGTTAGCATCTATGACACCTTGTTCTCTGCCCTGGCCTCCAGCCTCTCCTGCCAGAGAAACTCTGTACCCATGAATTTGAAGGGCTGCCACAGTGTCCCCTAGAAGGATGTCTCTGGCTGCAGTCCCAGTGGCCATTGAGGCGGAGGCTGCTTTGTCCCATCAGTGCAAACTTTGGTCCTCCTACCAGAGGCTGATCGGGCTGAAGTGAGCCGCTTTGCCAAGAACTTCCTGCCAATCCTTTTCAACTTGTATGGGCAGCCTGTTGCAACTGGGGACACACCAGCCCCTCGCCGGGCCGTGCTGGAGACTATCAAAACTTACCTCACCATAACCGAGACTCAGGTGAGCTGGGAGAGGGAGAGTACTCTCAGGTCAGCAGCTTGGGTGGGCCTGTTGGAAAGACTAAAGCCCTGTCTGCCAGGCTCTGTGGGTCTCTGCAATGCAGCAGTGGCTTGGGCTGAGATGAAGGCTCCTAAACAGTAGGGAGACAGCTCTGGTACCTGCTAGTTATGGCTGCTCTTATTTTTCTCTCCAGTTGGTGAATGGTTTCCTGGAAAAAGCCAGTGAGAAGGTACTTGACCCTGCCAGTTCAGACTTCACCAGGTAACGTGTTCAAGGCTTCCTTACTTGAGCTGAGAGATTGTCTAGCAGAAACCCTATGGGCTATGAGCTGTGTGGCCTTGGACAAGTCACTAAGCCACTTTGTGCCTGTGAGTTCTGATATGTAAAATGGGCATAATAACAGTCCCTGCAGCAAAGCTCTTTGAGGATTGCAGGAGGTGGTGTGTGTAAAGCACCAGGAACAGTGCCTGTTACATTATGAATCCTTGATTAATTGGCACGTGTGATCATTCACAAGCTCCTTTGAGGCCTTTGTCCTCACCCTGGCTTCTCCTACTTCCTGTGACCACTAAACATGAGCACTGCTAACCTCTGCCTTTCTGCAGTCCTCTTAAGTCCTCCATCGCCTGCCCTCTGCAGATTGTCTGTTCTGGACCTGGTTGTGGCCTTGGCTCCTCATGCAGATGAAGCCGCCATCAGCAAACTGTACTCCACCATCCAGCCCTACCTGGAGGTGAGCCCTTCACACCTCATTTGGGGTGGGGATGAGGCTCCAGGAAGGAAGGGCCTGTCTTAATCCTTGTTCTCTGCTGCTCCCCCTTGTACCCCATCCTGCCCATCTGTCACATAGGTGCCATGGTGACTGAAATGCACAGCTGAGGTGTCTCATGTAGAGGCTAAACTCCTTTGCCTGTGTACTCACTGGGCACATCCCAGCCTGGTCTGACCTTTGTCCCTCCCAAGCCACCCTCTGCCCTCGTTCACCCTCAATGAGGCCTCATTAGGCTGTTTTAAGGGTCCTGAATAGAGCGGTTACCACTATAGCCTGTGCAGTACTGGATTCTATTTGAAATATTGGCCCTATGGCTCACAGACACACAGAGCTCAAATCAGCAGTGGCCTCCTGAAAGCTGTCATCACTGCACAGGTGTTAGTAGCAATTAGCAGGGTGAGAGGTGTTCTAGGACGGTAAGGAAACAGCAAGTAGAAACACCAAAAGGATATCAAGGATTTGGAGGCAAACTTACTTATGTCAATGGGCAATGCTTAGGATCATTCCCAAAATATCAGGCCCTTATCTCTAGTGGTCTAGGGTTTATATGGGATGAGCAAGCAGGAGGCACAGAGGCAGAATGGCTTATCAGATGGGTGTTGGTTGTTATAGTGTGTATCACAGTGACCAGCTTTGCATCATTGTGACCAGCTATTTCTAGAAACAAAAGTAACAGGAGCTATAACTGGAACTATTACCTGAGCAACTAACAAACTGAAGTATACTGGCTGAGGGTGAGGTGGGCATCTTCTGCTATAGTACATGCAGGTGGACACAGATGTCCAGTATGAGGAGAGTAGCTGGGCTGTGTTGAAACCTCAGGGAGTGAGTTGGGTGGAGGACAGGGGTGCTGGTGCAGCTAGAGAAAGCTGTAGGTGTGCAGGCCTTGGTCCATGCCGCTAGAACGTGCGGTAGGTAGAGGTGGTGAGTGGAGTGTCTCATAGTATCCCCTGTGCCTGGTGCAGCACTTGGCCTGTCGCTGTCCATACTGCACCTGCCCTCTCCTCAGACCTTACGAGCTCCTACTCTCCACCTCTCTCCCATGCTGGCCACAGAACATGCTCTAGGAATGTCACTGGATAGAGGGTGGACCCCAGGTCCCTTTTTCACCTGTCCCTGTCCTCCGTGTGCCCCTTACAGAGTAAGGTCCATGGGGTACAGAAGAAGGCCTATCGCATCCTGGAGGAGGTGTGTGCCAGCTCCCAGGGCCCTGCGGCCCGCTTCGTGGTGAGTCACCTGGATGACTTGAAGAAGACCCTGCTGGACTCACTCCGGAGCACATCCTCGCCCGCCAAGAGGGTAAGGGCTCGGACTCGCCCCTTTGCTAAGGGAGGAAGGGTGACAACAAGAGAAGGCCACTGAGGAGGGTTTGAGGGGTCCCAACTATTGTCCTCTTGCACACAGCCCCGTTTGAAGTGCCTCATACATGTTGTGAAGAGCCTCTCAGCTGAGCACGAGGAGTTCATCTCTGCTCTCATCCCAGAGGTGAGGTGTGTGGGAGGTGTATGTATGTTTTTGGGAGTTGTTGGAAAATGGCTTTGAAGAGCTTGTCAGAATCTAGGGAGAGCCAAGCGTGATGGCACATGCACTCAGGAGGCTGAGGCAGGAGGATCATTGCAAGTTCAAAGCCAGCCTGGGCTACATAGTGGGCTCAAGGCCAGCCTGAACTGTGTAGTGAGACCTTGTCTCAAAAAGACCAAAAAAAAAAAAATCTGGGAAGGGCAGCGAGGGTAGGTTTGATTTGCCACCTGGGCACAGGGGTGCCTTTACCTACTCCCTTGTGCTTCAGGCAGCCCACCTGAAAGTGGGTAGCTTGGGAAGTGACTGCCAGTGGTGCTGTCTGGGCTAGGTAATCCTGTGCACCAAGGAGGTGTCTGTGGGTGCTCGGAAGAACGCTTTTGCCCTGTTGGTGGAGATGGGCCGTGCTTTTCTGCGGTTTGGCTCTAACCAGGAAGGTGAGTCTGGGGGATGCAAGCTGGGATAGACCTTTCTTGTAGGCTGATGGGAAGTGCTCCTCAAGCCACTGGTTAAAGAGAAAAGGTGGAGAATGCTCCCTTCCTGGCCCTGGTCCTTCATCTCTGGTGACCTTTTCCTCATGTGATACTTTCTTGTTTCTGCTCCCAGAAGCCCTGCAGCGGTACCTCATCCTGATCTACCCCGGCCTTGTGGGCCCGGTAACCACAGTCAGTTGCAGCATCCTGGCCCTGACCCACCTCCTTTTTGAGTTTAAAGGTAAGAATTTACTTCCTTGAAGGCCTAGAAAGCCCTTAACATAGGAAAATGCATCGGACGTCAGGACAGTGTGGCTGTTGGAACAGGGAAGGTACCAAGAAGCAGGAAGAGGTTAGTAAAGTTGCTCAGAATCTTACATGGTTAAGCAATTTTATTAATCTTGTAGAACATCTCCCAAATGAGGGGAGAAATAGTGTTCACCTCAGGGATGCTAAAGGATGCAGGCCACTCCATGGAGACTGATTACAGCTGTATCAGCACAGGCTCCAAGTGTTGCTTTTATTAACATTTGACCTGGCTGGGCAGGTGGCGGCAGCTCCTGCTTCCCTGGGTGGTGGTCTTTGGTCTAGGGGATCCTGGTGCCTCTGACAGTGTCGCCTCACCACAGGGCTGATGGGGACCAGCACAGTGGAACAGCTGCTGGAGAATGTGTGCCTGCTGCTGGCCTCACGCACCCGTGATGTGGTCAAATCTGCACTGGGCTTCATCAAGGTGGCCGTGGTGGTCATGGATGTGGTGCACCTGGCCAAGCATGTGCAGCTCGTGGTGAGGGTCCCCTTTCCCTTGGTGGGGAGTGGTAAGATGGCCTCTTAGGTGCCAGTGTGGAGCCTCTGAGCCTTCAAATTTTTCCTTTCGCTATAGCTGCTTTGTGTGGTTATCAGGTCATTAAGGAGCTCTGGCAGGGATTTGTAGGAGAATGCCAGCCCAGCAGAGGCCAGGAAGGGGTATAATGCCCAGGCTGCCTTCTACTACCTTTATGTCCCCTGCTCTGGAGCTAGAGCTCTGCAGAGCAAAGAACAGTGGTAGACACACCCCTCACTGTACACATGAAAAGATGTACAGACGATGTCTGCCGCTTGCACGTGTAAACCAAACAAGGCTCGTGCTCACTTTGGCAGCACATATACCAAACAAGGCCAGATGAATAGTGCAGCATGACAGGAAGGCTACATGGGACCAAGAAAAGCCTGGTGTTGGTAGGGACAAAGTGTAGGACCTGCTGGATTAGAGGGCCCTAGAGGAAACATCTACTTCTGTGGCTGTGTGACCCACAGTGGTATGTGACCCTGTGCCTTAATTTCCTCATCTGTATATTGAGTTGTTCTGAGGATTAAGTGAGAGCATATGTAGAGTGCAAGCACTGTTCAGCAACCAAAGTGGGTATCTTGAAAGTGTGGCCAGGGCTTGTTGTGAAGGGGGTTAAAGGGAAAGGTGGAGCCGCCCACATTCTGGAAGTGTGATTGAACCAAGGGGCGGACCAGGAACAGGGCAGCCAGAACCCTACCCCCTTAGCTGGGCCCCATTGTCTTCTGTTCCTTGTCTGGACAGCAGGGAAAGATGGGCACTGTAGAAGGCACACTACCCTCCTCTTAACACCCTGGTGCTCTGCTCTGCCTGGCAGATGGAAGCCATTGGGAAACTGTCAGATGACATGCGGCGGCACTTCCGCATGAAGCTTCGGAACCTGTTCATCAAGTTCATCCGCAAGTTTGGGTCAGTGTGCTTAATGGGGATAGGGAACAGGCATGGAGTTCCCACGTGGCTGGAGGGAAGGGTCCCTGCACACCTCCTACCTGTGGGGTTACTCTCTGGCCGGTGCTTCTCACCTGCCCCTTTTTGCCACCCTCAGGTTTGAGTTGGTGAAGGGGCTGCTGCCTGAGGAGTACCACAAAGTCCTGGTCAACATCCGGAAAGCTGAGACCAGGGCCAAGAAGCACCGTGCCCTGAACCAGGCTGCTGCAGAGGAGGAAGAAGAGGAGGAGCCTATTCACAGCAAAGGAGACAGGTGAGGTGTGGGGACCTCACCTCCCCGCAAACAGAGCCCTTCCAGGCAACGCCCTGCTAACCTCTGCCTCTCCTGAGAGTGCTCTGACTTGGGGCATCTCTGTCCTTAGCATTGAAGAGATTTTGGCTGACTCAGAGGATGACGAAGACAATGAAGAGGAGGATCGAGGCCATGGAAGGGAGCAGCGGAAGCTGGCACGAGAGAGGAGCCGGGCATGGCTCAAGGAAGGTGGTGGGGATGAGCCCCTCAACTTCCTGGATCCCAAGGTGGCCCAGAGAGTCCTTGGTGAGCAAGAAGTGACTACCCCGGAGCTCAGAAATCAGACCTGCCTTGGTGCTAAGTTCTTGGGCAGTGGGTGGTATGGCTCCATGGCAAGCCAGTGGGCAAGAGGTGAGGGTGTTGGTTCTGAGGAAGGTATGACTAGATTAGGACTGCCCTTCCACCTCCTTATGCCAAACTTTGCCACACCAGCCACACAGCCAGGGTCAGGCCGGGAGAAGAAGAAGGACCACGGCTTTAAGGTGAGCGCTGATGGCCGGCTGATCATACGGGAGGAGGAAGATGGTGACAGGGCGGAGGAAGAGTATGGCACTAAAGGTAGGACTTCAGTTCATTCTGGGATCACAGTTGCTTCTGGCCTGAGCCAGGGCTGCACTCCGTTACTGCCTCATATGCCCGCTTGTGTTCATTTGCGTGATCATGCAGTGACTATTTGTGAGGAAGGAGAGGTAAACAGATGCAAGACGGCAACTCTCAGACCTGAGTTTCTGACCTTGTTGACAGCTTAATATTGTATATTATACCTGTATGTTTCTATTTATTTATGTGTTTAAAGCAAGACTTTAGGGAAATAGTGCCTTCTCTTGTTACATGATGTGCTTTTTTTTTTTTTTTTTGGTCTTTTTGAGACGGTCTTGCTATGCAGTTCACACTGGCCTTGAGCTCACTTTGTAGCCCAGGCTGGTCTGAAACTTGCAATGATCCTCCTGCGTCAGCCTCCCAAGTGCTGAGGTTACACGGCTGTGCCACCATGCCCAGCTTATGATGTGCTATTGTCTCTCCTTCTGGGACTTGCATTTAGTCTCACCCCAGAAATGCCCAGATCTTCTAAAACATATCAATCTACCTCTCCAGACTGGGACTGTAACTCAGTAATAGTTTGTTTGCCTTGCATGTACAAAGCCCTGGGTTCCATACCCAATATCTCCCCTACCCATCCATGAATGAAAAAAGCCTGCCATTTAATTGTTTTGGTTCCCACTGTGGAGTCTGGGCCCTTGACTCACCAGCCCTCGTCCAGTGCTTCAACAGCTCTGGCTACGTCTCACCCCAGCTGTGTATTGGTAGATCTTATTTAACCTCTTTGTGCCTCTGTGTCTCCTCCCTCCCAAATGGGAATGATGCCAACACCTACTCATAGGGTGCTTGTAGAGATGATGTGGTGTTTCCTACACACTGCATATTGTGCTTGGTATAAATGTGGTTGCAACTTTCTCTAGCTGGTGTCTTCTCTGTTCGCCACTCAGCCCTTTGCACTGTATGCTCTCCTGTCGTCTTGGTGCCCAGGTTTCCTACTGCTGAGGATGCTTGTCCCCACCTGCCTGCCTTTCTGCAGCTTCTCTGCTCTTTAGGTCCTTGCTGGCCTTTCCAGGGTGCCTCAGCCACTGGGCCTCTTTTCCACAGCACTCCTGGAGATCACCTGTCTTCAGGGTTTGTTATGTGCTGTTTTTGTTTTTTGTTTTTTTAAGAAGTTATTTGTTTATCTGTTTATTTTGTGGTGCTAGGAATTGAACCCCACGCCTTGAGCCTGCTAAGCAAGTGCTCTATGACTGAACTGCAGCCCAGCCCCATAAGTGCTGTCTGTATGGTCTTTTGTTTCTTGGGTTTTGGTTTTGTTTTTTTTTTTTTTTTTTTTTGGTACTGGGAATCAAATTTAGGACCTTGTGCTTGCAAGGCAGGTACTGTACCACTGAGCTATATCCTCAGCCCTTTATGGTCTTTTGGTCATTACTTGACTTTGCCTGAATGTCTTTCCTCTACCTTGTTGTTACACACTTTATACCCGACACAGTGCCTGGCACATGGAAGTTTTCAAATAGGAGAGTGAAAATTTCTTCTGACAAAGTAGAAGAGAGCTGACTCCCTCGGGCTTTTCTTCTTTTCTTAGACAGGGTCTCGCTGTGTAGTTCAACTCATGGCAATCCTTCTGCCTCAGCCACCAGAGTGCTGAGATTACAGGTGTGCATCACACATCTGGCTTTTTTTTTTTCTTTTTTTTTTTTTCTTTTTGAGACAGGGTCTCACTCTGCAGTTCAGGCTGGCCTTCAGCTCACTTTGTAGCCCAGGCTGGTCTCAAACTTGCAACGATCCTCCTACCTCAGCCTCCTGAGTGCTGGGATTACAGGCGTGCGCCACCACACCCAGCTACACATCTGGCTCTTTTCTTCATTTGCTTTACTTACTTTTTGTCTTTTTGAGACAGAATTTCTTTATAGAGTTTAGCCTGGCCTTGAACTCACTTTGTAGCCCAGGCTAGCCTCAAATTAGTGGCAATTCTGGCTCAGTGTCCTGAGTGCTGGAGTTACAGGTGTCTTAGTTACTTTTGTCTTGTTGCTGAGACAAAATACCCAACACTCACAATTAAGAAAGGAAAGGTTTATTTTGCTCACAGTTAGAGGTGGTTTCAGTCTATAATCAACTGGCTGCAAGGCAGGGTGACGTGGCAAATGGGCAACAGTTCAAGGCAGCAGAAGACAGCAAAAGCAGCAAGAACAAAAAAGCAGAGGTAAAGCAAACATCTTTTCCCTCCTATATTGTAAGCAGGCTACCCCCGCCAGGTGGATGTGACACTTACACCATTTCCCTGTCCTCCTCCTGCACAGGATGAGGACACCTACAAAGTGAGGACCCTGGCCCCCTGCTGAGTCACTTAGTTAAACTTCTAGACTTCTCAAGTTGACACAGTGAATCGACCGTTATACCACGCATGTTCTACCATGCGTGGCAGGCTCTTTTCTTTGAGTCTGAAAAAAAACTATATATTCACTGCAGAAGTTGGGCCATGATTTTCTTCTTAGGGGCTACTTCCCTAGAATGAGAAGTAGAAGGCAGTGTACAGTATTCATCTCCCACAGAAGGAGAGCACAGGTCTAGAGAAAGCAGTTTGGCAGTTCTCCGGGGTTGAAGTTGGTGCTGTGGTACCCTGGTGAGCCAGCAGGAGGAAAGACTGGGTTCGGGGACTCCATGGGTGCTCACAGGCCTGTCTTCCTTTTGATTCCAGGTGAGGATGAAGACATGGCTGACCTGATGGAAGATGTGAGCATCAGAAGTGTGAGTAGTTCCTGCTGGTGGAGGGCTGAGGGCCACAGACATCAGCCTGGGCCCCCACATTCCCATTCCCTCACAGACACTGCACCTGCCGTGCTTCTGAAGAGCTCAGCGGGTTTCTGTGTGTGCATGTAGCAGGGAGTTGAGGGTGTGTGTGTGTCAGGGACAGGGTGGCTCACAACTCCTGGGTTTAGGGAGGGGGCTTGAGTGCCTCTGAAATACCCCATGTGTCCTTCAGTGTTGGCGGGTTGAAGAAAACAAGCCCTTGTATCTCCCCCAAGGGCATGTGCTGTGCAGGCTGCAAGGGTAGCAGCTGGCCTGTGTGTTGTATTCTAGGATCAAGGACTCCCACATGGATGGGGACCCCCATGGAGGAGCACACACTGCCAGGCATTGTGCTCCTTACCTGGTCCTCACCTGAGATAGGAACTCTATCATCCATTTTGAGAGGGGTGGGCAGAAGTAAGTCGCTTGCCTGAGGTCTTGGGGCTCATTAAGGAAGGAAAGGTTTATTTTGCCCTAATGGCAACCAGGGACCAGAACCCTGGTTTTCCAGTCTCCCGAGCCCAGGAATTTCATCCCCTTGATGCCTTTCTCCCTTGACCTGGCCCTGTGGCCTCCCAGGATGGCATGCAGCTATCAGCTATGGCCTGTTGTCTAAGCCCAGGGTGTTTCTAGGGCATTCCTAGGGATTTTCTTCCTCCTGTCCTTCTAGACTCTGCCCAGGCCCCCAGCCTTCCTTGGCGTCACTGTTAGGCAAGAGGTACCATAACTTGTGGTGAAGAGGCATGTGTGGGGTCACATCATGGCCATGACCTAACCTTTCAGAGCCTCAGTACCTGGCTTGTAAGTGGTTATAAGTAGACCATCTTGCAGAATTTTTGGGATAGTGTAATGAGATTGGACATGTAAGGTGCATCAACATGGAGCTTGACATGTAAACTTCAGTTTCCTCACCTTGAGGAACTGCCTTATCGTTAGTGTGGTAACAATATAGAATGTTGTTTGGACAACTGGGCCAAGAGAGTCATGGGGTCAGAGGATCTTAGAGGCCCCCAGGCAGGGAGCCTATGATGCACTGCCATGGGAGTGTTTCCTCTGCTCGCAAACCTGGCAGCCCACCCTGCCTCCCTGCAGCCCATTTTAGTGAGGTGCAGCTCCACTTGCTGGGAGCTCCTCTGCCTGCTCCAAGATCTGCCCCTCTGTAGGTCTGCTGCCGTCAGCCACAGTCTGGTCTTGCTTTCCTGGCAGTAGCAGCAGTCAGTGAATGAGTGTGTTCCCCAGCCCAAACTGTTTAAAGTGCTTGGCTTTTAGGGCTGCTGGGTAAATAAATTGTGGCTGTTCTTTTGTCAGGGAGGGTCAGAGGGAAGCTTACTCAGGACTGAGCCCAGGGCCTTCACACTGTGCTACATTCCCAGTCCTTGTTTAATGTTTTATTTCAAGACAGAGTCTTGATAAGTTGTCAGATTTGAACTTGGAATCCTCCTGCCTAAGTGCTGGCACTAGAGGCCTGCATCACCATGTCTGGATGGCTATTCTTTTTCTTTTTCTTTTTAAGACAAGGTCTTGCTATGCAGTTCAGACTGGCCATGAGCTCACTTGATAGCCCAGGCTGGTCTCAAACTTGCAACAATCCTCCTGCCTCAAGCTCCTGAGTGCTGGGCTTACGGGCATGCACTACTACGCCCGGGGTTGGCTATTCTTTATTATACATATTCTGTGGAAATCTTTCCCCAAACAGAGCCTTTCCTTTAGCATAGCCTCATCCATGGCTTTGTGATCCCTTGGCAGCTTTGTGATCCCTGTTCTTCCTGACTGGGGAGAACTGACCATGGCCCTCTGAGAGTGGCATCCAGCTCACAGGAGCCCAGGCCTGGACTGAGAGGGTCCAGGATGACTGCAGTCCAGCCAGCAGGTGGAAAGTCAGCACCTGCACCACTGTCCCTAGAGGATCTTGTGTGGAGCTACTGAGACATCTGCCCGCAGTTGTAGGAGCCTCAGTGCACAGCCAGTAGGCTGGGCCTCCAGATCCTGGTCTCTAGAAGTTGCTACAGCCAATGGAACTTGTGTCCTTGCTTCCAGACATACCTGCGTGCCGCAGCTCATTCCCTCCACTTAGGGTCGTCCCTCAACATGACACTTCTGGTCCTGAAGACCACACCATAGAACCAGCCCTGTGAGCTGCCTGATTGCTCTTTGCACAGCATGCCTCTGCCAGGCATGATTGGTAGAGCTGCCGCTGAAATCTCCCAGTGGTGGGGCTGCTGCCGGGCCTTTTCCTTCCTGTACAGCATTAAAGTGCCATGCATGCAGCAGGTGCTCCTCACTTGCTGTGGTGTGCAGTCAGCTGGGTCCACATGTCTGTTGGCTTATAACTTCTGCAGACTCCTAACTGCTACAACCCTAGCGATGTTGCGGGACTTCAGTGACTTGAGTTGGGCAGTGATCTCTTATCAGTATGACGGCCCCAGGAACACTGGGAGTGGATCCTGTCCTCTGTCCCCAGGGCCTGGCACTGAGTAAGGGTTTAGGGGGCTGGTGACTAATGGGAAGATTGGAGCGGCATTTGTGTGAGTGGAGAGTAGGTAAAGTCTGAGAGGATAGGATCTCATTTTCCCTGTTATTAAGGCTGGGGCTGTACCCCATAGCAGGGTGCCAGATGGGCATTTGTAGCCCTGGGGTGGAGAAACAGGCCTTGTGGTCAGGATGTGAGCTAAAGCCTCATTTCCCCTGGCTAGCTCTGTGACCTGGGGATAGTTACCTATCTGCTCTGGGTCTTCGTTTTCTTACCTGTAAGTGGGGATCAAGGACAGAGGACCTTTCGCGCTCAGTGCAGGTTGTTGCTGTCATTGCATCATTACTAAGCATGCTCATGTCTCCTGTTCACTTACTACCTGCTTATCAGCTGCCTTTTCTCTATAGAAGAAGAAGCGTAGGCAGCAGAAAGAGGCTGAGGAGGAAGAGCTGGAAGTACCCCCTCAGTACCAAGGTGAGGCTTCCATTCTGCTTTCTTAGGGTTCACTAATCCTGTCACCTGCATCAGGCAGAGTTGGAGGGCGGGGCAGCAGGGTCCTCAGGCTGCACAGCCTAGTTGCACTCAGTTGGCACCAACATAGTTTGGCTGATCAAACACCCAAGACCAGGCTGGGGCCAAGGGATATGGGGGTAAGGAAGAGTCTGAGGGTTAAGGTTTCTTTACATAGGACTCCCAGCTCTTCCAGGGAGCCCCTGAGTCTTCCCACCCACCCAGACCTTCTGTGAGGCCTGTGCCTGTCCCTTCCTGAGAATTATTTGTTTCCCTTACCCATCTAGTAGCTCCAGCTGTGAGTCAGCCAGGAACAGCCCCCTAGCCTGTATTGTTGATGCTTCATAAATAATAGGATCAGTAGGATTTATATTGAGCTGGGCCAGATGGTTCCTTTCATGGATGTCTCTGCCCCTAGCTGGTGGCTGTTCAGCTTCCTCCCAAGGTGTGCCCCGTGGCCCTGTTGCTAAGATCATGCAGCAGAACGCTTGCTGTGCTTCTGCAAGTCCTAAGCCCCTGTGGTACCCGAACCCCACTGGGGAACCTTGTTCTTCCAGCCTCACAGTCTGGGGGCCCTGCTCACCTGTTCTGCTCCAAGATGATGTGTTGGGCGGAGGCAGCAGGAGACATGGATGCAGGACAACTTGATCACCTACTGTTAAGCTATGTGACCTCAGTCTGGTGAAGCTGCCTCTCTGAGCTTGCAATTCGTATTGGTCTCTCAGTAAGTCCTCCTGAGTCAGGATTGTAGGATTCCATTCATGAGTGTTGAATTCCAGACTGGAGGTAACAGCTTGCCTTGGGCAGGGATACTGATCCCTCTAGGCTACAGTTTTTACTTCTGCAAAATGGGATAAACAGACTTTGTATTTCACTGTGCTGTGTGAATAAGATGAGGGCAGGAAGACCTAAAGTGCCTTACTTTACAGATGAGATTAAGATTCTCCAGGAAATAGTAAGTGGCAAAGCTGAGAGTTGAACTTGGTCTATCTGAATGTAAAACCCATGTTCCTTCTCCTAGAATAAACAAAGCAGGTAGAACTTTGCAGACTGTGCGTCATTTTGTGTTGGTGGAGAATGTGTTCTCACAGGTCACTGGTCGGCTTCTGAGTCAGTCTGTCGAGTCACTGGACAGTCCCTCCTTATAGGTGGACTTTGTCTGTGCTTGGTAGAGGACAGAGCCAAGTTCCTGGTTTTTGTTCATGTGCTCCCCAGCAGCCCTGTGAGGGAAGGTGCCCTTGCCTTCCAGGAATGGGCTGCCCTGGCTTCGCTGACACATGATCCTCTGTTCTCCCAACAGCTGGAGGCTCCGGCATCCATCGTCCAGTGGCCAACAAGGCCATACCTGGGGCCGAATACAAGGCCAAGGTAAGAGCTGTGGGTGGGGGCCTGGGCTCTCCTGGTCCTCTACAGTTACCAGGGAGTTAGGAGCTATACCTGTCACCATCCTTGAGAGGCATCTTGGTGGAACCAGCAATCCAGGAAGAGGAGGGGACATACCCTGGTCTCATTGGCATCTGAGGTTGGGGACCTTGGCAAATGATCTCCAGGGGCCATTGCTCCCATCCTAGTCAGAGAATGAAGGGGAAGAGGGCAGAGGGAACCCCACATTCCTCACTGATTGTGTTTCTTTGGATGAACAGAAAGCAAAGGGTGATATGAAAAAGAAGGGTCGGCTTGATCCCTATGCCTACATCCCTCTCAACAGAACCAAGCTTAACCGCAGGTATGGTGGTGTGTCGGGTGGGATAGGAAGTGCAGTTGCCTGGGTCACTTGCAGTTTTTCTTTTTATTTGCTGTGGTACTAGGGACTGAACCCAGGACCTAGGTCTTTGCATGTGCTGGGTAAGCACTCCTGCTGAGCCACAGTCCCAGCTTCCCTAGTTCTTTCCTTTCCCTTTTCCTTCCTTTTCTGTCCTGTCCTGTCAGACGGGGCCTCAGTGAGTGTCCAGCTGGCCTTGAATGTAAAATTCTCCTACTTCCGCCTCCCACCACCACTGAGCAGCTGGAATTATAGGCTTATGCCAGTGTGCCCAGATTTTTTTAAAGTTTAATTTAGTTTTTTGAGACAGAGTCTCATTGTGTAGTCCAGGCTGGTCTTGAACTCACTATATGGCCCAGGCTGGCTCAAACTTGCAGCGATCTTCCTGCCTCAGGCTGCCAAGTGCTGGGATTACAGGTGTGCACCACCACACCCTGCTGCACCTTTTTTTTTTCTTTCTGTACCAGGAATTGAACTCAGGACCTTGTGCTTGTTGGGCAGGTGCTTATGCCACTGAACTAAATCCCCGACCCCTCATCTATTATTTTTTAACATGCACGTACATGTAGTTGGTACGTGCCTCAGTATTGTTTGGCATTATTATTATTAATTTATTTTTGTTTTGCAATACTAGGGATTGAACCCAGGCCCTTGGCACTCAGCTATATCCCCAGCCCTTTTTTATTATGAGGCAAGGTCTTGGCAAGTCAATAAGTTGCCCAAGATGGGTTTGAACTTTCAGCCTTTCTGCCTCAATGTCATGCAGACATATTCTGATATATCTATCTATCTGTCTTTTTTTTTGGTTCTATACACTCATGATTTTTATTAGCTTTGTGTAATTTGATTTTCTAAGCACCTTATTGGTGAGAAATTAGACTTTGTTTCCATGTTGACTATTACATAGGGTTCTTAGGCATAGTGAGGGCTACCTGCAGTGCTGTGTAGGAGTGGTTTGCAAATGATTGTCACTAGGGAAATAATGTTCTAAACTTCAGTTACATAAAGGCTTCTGTGGTGTTGCAGTTACCCTTAGAAGGAAGAATGGGTGGCTAGAGTGTGCTTTGTTTGACCTCTGCATGTGCATTAGAACTTGCTTCCTCTAATGCATGAGAGTGGCAGGGAAGGCGGTCTTGCATGGGTGGAGGTTGTGTTGGAGTGGAGGAGCCAAGGCAGGACCTGTGCAGTGTGGAAGCTGGAGCTGCATGTGGTCTGCTCCTTCACATGCTACCACTAGGTTGTCCAGTTTTCCCTGTCCCTGCTGATATGAGCCATCATTTGACATTATCAAGAGGGGAATACCTGTTCTCAGTGAGATGTGACCCTTCTGGTTCTTATCCCTGCAGGAAGAAGGTGAAACTTCAGGGACAGTTCAAAGGTCTGGTGAAAGCTACCCAACGGGGGTCCCAGGTGGGACACAAACTCCGCAGAAAGGATCGCCGCTCTTGAAGCCCAGGGTCTCTGGGCTACTCTGTGGTCTAAGCTGAGGCTAGTGCCAAGTACTCCACATGGGCAGAGCCTGGACTCAGTGACTTGTTGGAACTGGAACTTGCCTCTCAGAGAGATGCCCAGGATTTTAGAAGCTCCAAGGGGGACATCCTTCTAAAGACATCCCTGGGGATGAGACTGTGGCCTTACTGCCTCCGAGTAGGCCCCGTAAGGTGAATGTGCTTTCTGCCCAGTGGCCATGAGCAGCTGACCATGGCTGTGTGCCACTCTCAACCGGGCTGTGGTCTGGTGTGTGAGATTTGCTGTGATGAGGTGTACAATAAATGTGTATCACCGTGCATTAGCCCTAGAAATACTGTGTTTTATAACCTGGCCTCTCCAGGTAGAAGAACAGAGATTGTTAGCCAGGGTGACTTGACTCCTTCCTGTGTGACTCTCAGCATCCAGTCTAGGGTGTAGCACACTTTGCCCGAAGGTCAGGCCTTACACCTTGCTCATGAGGTTAGGAGGGTGCCCTGGCTTCACCTTGCAATCCCATTTGGAAGGGGACTTTCAGGAGTTAGGACGGAAGCTGAATGCTCCAACACTGATCCCTATAGCTGTGGTTGGGCATTAGGGACTTGGAATAGGAAGAGGAGGCAGCTGACTCAGAGCTGTTAAAGCTACAGGTTGAGCACAAGGCTCTCCTGGTGTCTTTGTCCATTGATAATGTATATTGAGCTCTCCACATGCTGTGCACACGCTGATTTATCCATTTATCCATGTCTCTGTTACTACCCGTTCTCTTTTCCAGATCCAGTGGGGTACAGCGTGATTCCTCTTGGTCCAGCCTGGTTAGTCTGGTGCATATTTGCTGTACCCCTGAGATCCCTTGTCCTATCAGCCCAGGGTCCCTCTTTTGTGTACTTTTCCAGCGGACAGCCAGAAGTAAAGAGCCCCAGGACTATCCCCACACCCCAGTATGAGGAGTGTACTTTGTCCCCTGACACTTGATCAGCCTCATTCTCCTCTTGTGAAATGAGACCACATACACCAAGAGTTTCCACCCTGGTTTTGTGCCCTGGTAATGCTCCCAGGAGGCCCTGTCCCTCAATACTATTCCACTCATTCTCCAAGAGGACCCAAGTACTGAATTCACTGCTGCCAAAATTAGGGCATTTCCTCCTGATGCTGTTTGGCTAAGAATCTGAGGAGTCATACTTCACCCAGAGGTGGCACTATCTGTATGGCCAGTTTGCAGATAAATGCAATGGGAGAATAAGCAAGAAAGGTGGTCAGAAGAGGTGGCTTTTAAGGATTTGCAAAGGTAATCTAACCATGACCTGATCATTACACCGTAGAGAGGAGATGTGTTAGTTTAAGTCAGTCCTAGTGTTTTCCTATCTCCTTTCTCAGGCAGTATAACCACATACACAGCAGGAAGCCTCATATAAAGTAGGGAGGAATTTGAGCCAGTTGCCCAGGATTTATGTCTATAAAGAAATTTGAAGCCAGCCTATTTGTTAAGTGTGTTCCCATGAAGCTTTATTTTCTTTCTTTTTTGTTTTGTTTTGGTATTGGTTTTTTGAGATAGGGTCTTGGTATGTAGTTCAGGCTAGCCTTGAACTCAAGGGCAGCCCTCCTGCCTCAGCCTCCCAGGTGCTGTAATTACAGTTGTGTGCCACCATCCTCCACTTGTTTTCTTTCAAAGGAAGGATGAGCAGATGACCTAGAAAGGTTGGTATTGGTGATCTGCCCATATTCTTTGGGAAGTAGACTTTAAACAGATTTTCTTGACACAGAGACAAGAACTAATTCTATGCTCCAGAAACTTCAGGTGCTTAAAACATGTTGTGATAGTCAGTGCTGCTTTTGTATCAATCAGCAGAGCGGGTGAAGGAGAATCTTAAAGGGAGTTCATCTACACAGGATTCATTGAGTTTCAGGACAAAGAGAAAAGTTGAGAAATTCCACCAAGACCCAGGTTTATTACTTGAATTTCATTACACTTTTGGTAATAGCAGAATTCAAGACTTTCCAGACTTTCTCTGCTGGGTCTGTCCTCTGCTCATTCATTCTCAGAAATGGAAGACAGTCACATCCCTGTTGCCACCAAAAGAGCAGTTCTGCTGGCCGAGGTGGTCAGGTGCTGGAATTGGCAGAGACAGTATGATGGGTTGCTACTGTGATACTTAGGAGCATGGGTAAGTCAGGTTAAGCCTGTCCTCTCCTTCCCTGTGTACCTTCTCCTGAGTGTGACAGTGGCCCTCTAGCTAGGTCTAGAGCCTCTTACAACCTCATCAGCTCCAGAAAGGTGTTCTGTTCTTCTCCTTCCTTATTTCTTTTTTGTTTTCAGGGCAGTACTAGGGTTTGAACCCAATGCACTCATATTGAGCTACATCCCCATCTTTTTTTTTTTTTTGATACTGGATCTCACTAAGTCACTAACTTGCCCAGACTGGACTCAGACTTGTGATCCTCCTGCCTCAGCCTTTCAGAGTGTTGGGATTACAGGCATGAACCACTGTGACTAGACAGTTTTTTCTGTATGCAAAACATTGGAAAAAGTTACTTAAGATGTTCCAGTAGCCTCTGTTTTCAGTCCTCAGGGTCCTTTCCTCAATTTGTTGGGGCTTTCTGTTTTTGTTTTTTAGGTTATGTTTCTTCAAAAGGTAATCTAAAAAATTAAAATATATCCTGTATTTCACTTAAAAATAATAACGATTCACAGAATTTGGAAAACACAGAAAAATAAAAGCAGGAGCTAGAACCCCACCAAATTTTCAACCATAGGATATTCCCACTTTTTTCCTACATAGAACTTATTTTTTTAAATGTAAAAATACAGCTTTAAAAAGCAAGCTTATATTCTAAATTTGCACTTGACTGTAAGAAAGGTTTTACCATACCTATATAAATACTTCATAAATACAGTTTCAGTGGCCCAATTTAAAACATCTGCCCAGTGGATGCAACTCTATTTATAAGAACCTTTGAGTCCATAAGTATGTTGCTTCTTGCTTACGCAGGAATTTAAAACCATCACTAGATACTAGGCCGTGTGCAAAGCAATATTTAGAAAATGACATGATGAATACTCCTTGTTCTATTTTTGATATACATTATTATGAACAGATGATGACTGTACTCCAGAAAATAACCCTGATTTGGGACAATGTAAGCTGCTTTGCCATTTCCTGAAATTATGCTTCGTGTAGCTACTGCCATTAGAAACACAGAGCTGTTAGAGGACTGATGAGTCATCCAAGGCCAGGGCTGCAGTGACAGGTTTCTGCTTCCACTCCAAGTCCCACGGGCAAGTCATGGGAATGCACAGAACAAGCCTTTGAAGCTGTGATCAGTCTTCCACAAGTATAAAGAGTGTGGGTGGAAGGTGGGGGGCTACTAATAGTTATTCCAGAGGTGGAGTCTGGAGACAGCTCTGTAGAAGTAAAGTCAAGAGTGGTTGGATTCAGAGAAGACAGCCTAGCCTTACGAGATCTAATCAAAATTGTACTTTAAGCCGAGTGGTAGTGAAGCCTGTAACCCCAGCACCTCAGGAGGCTGAGGCAGAAGGATTGCTGTGAGTTTGAGGCTAGCCTGGGCTACACAGTGAGTTCAAGGTCAGCCTAAATTACATAGTGAGACCCCCATCTCAAAAAAAAACAAAAGGCCGGGTGTGGAGGCGCACGCCTGTAATCCCAGCACGGGAGGCTGAGGCAGGAGGATTGTTGTGAGTTCGAGACCAGCCTGGGCTACAAAGTGAACTGAAGGCCAGTGTGAACTGCATAACAAGACCTTGTCTCAAAAAGCCAAAAAAAAAACCAACCATAAAAAAATTGTATTATTAAGTTCTATTGAGAAATACCACTGCCTGAGAGATTCATGATAACTGCAGGGGACATACTCTGCCTTGTATCTGAAGTCAAGATGGATAGCATAAAGCAGGGCAGAGGGAATCTGGGGAGTGATAACTTAGTAACATGACTGAAGGGGGACAACTTTATCTCCATGGGGGGATTTGCCTGCAGGAGGGTGTGGAGCCATGCTTCTCTGTGGTGTTAGTGCTACAAAGCAGGGACAGAGCCTTCTATGCCTCCTAGGCTCCTTACTTTCCTGCTTCTGAGAAGTTTTGCTGAGATTTAATCTGGATCTTGCTTCCTTCACATGCAGCATACTTGGATGGAATTTCCAAGCCCTGCTGTTTTGCTCTCAAGGGACAGACAAGGCATCCCCTGGGGGTCTTTGTACAAATAAAAAAACTAATCCTGCCCAGCATGTGTGGATTTGAAGCCTCTAACTTCCAGAGGGCAGCCTGATTTCCAGGCTCTCGGGATGTCACCCAGAAGAGCTGGATGAACTGATCACTGAACATTTAAAATCAGAATTTCAGAGAGGATCTATGCATGGCTAGCAGGCATCTGGATTTGTGAACAGTGCCAGGAATAGGCTGTGCAGTCCTCAGCGAGTTCTGCAAACTCTTGAAATAACTTGCTGCTGGGGCCAGGTGCAGCTGGCCTGTAATCCCAACAGTTGGGAGGCTGAGGTAGGAGGATCACAAATTCAAGGATAGACTAAGTTGCATAGCAAGGTCAAGGCCACAAAACAAAAACTTGAGTTTAGCCAGCTGTGGTGGCTCATTCTCTTCCTAGCACTGTGGGAGGCTGAGACAGGAGGATTCCAAGTTTGAACTGGTGCAGCCTGGGCAATTTAGCAATTTGCTGAGACACTGTCTCAAGATTTAAAAAAAAAAAAAAAAAAGCCCTAGGGATATAGCTCAGTGGAAAGGCCCTGGATTAAATCCCCAGTACTGCAAAACAACACCCCTTTTGCTTTTAACCACAAGTGTTGCTACAATACAACATAGATCTTGGATTTGAGTCCACAGAGCCTGCGTGACATATATAGTAGATTTCCCAAAACGAACCCTCAGTTGCAAATAGGCTCATAAAAATTACGAAGCACATTACCCCAGCAGATTTTATACAGTCATATATGCTGATTGGATCACTGTCAGATAATTATTATCTAAAAATGCTTTTTTAATCATTTCAGCAGCAAATTCACCTTCTTACAAGGAGATGTGATGCGTCTCCAAAGCAACTACTCATACATGAGTAGCAAAGCTGACATCTGATATTCTGAAGAAAATGCTTCCCACCCACGAAGACTATCACATGGGTCACATGTGTTCCTTTCTCCCGACTTCACTTGGGGGCCTGGCATCTGCTACATGCCTAGTCACACCAGATCCACAGCACCAGGTCCAAGTCTCCTGTGCAGGTACAGTGGCAAATATAATCCAAGCTTGGATAGTTTTCGGTTTACAGAGCCATTTGTACCCCCATCTCTGGATCCTTGCAA